CCCCAAAACCCCAAAACCCCAAAACCCCGTAATCTTATTAAACTGTTATGTGATGTAATCATTATATTGTCAATTAAAGATAATTAATTAGATTTTGAAATCATTTGCTTTAAACTAGCAATAAAAATATTACAAGTATATTAATAAACTGGGATTTTTATTAGTTGAAGATAATATAAACCTAATATGAGTCAAGACCCGGACAATGAATATAAACATCCCCTTATTTCAGAGGGCAATTAGTACTAACTAAATCAGTTTCAAACAGATAACAACACCCATTACTCATCCTTCCATGAAAGAGACACTGAAAGATTCAAAGATGCTAAGAGCCACCATACGTATCACCGTGACGATGACAATAATCGAGATCAAGATGGTAAGGGTGCCCTTGACGCAGACTTGCTAGATCAGTTGGTCAACCAGTCCAAACAGAGAATTGAGGCCACTAAGATTGAAAAGCAAACAGCCAAAGACCAAGTGCCCTATAGTAAACTGTTACTAACCTATGCGGATAGAACAGACAAAATATTGATGAGCTTAGGATTCCTATTTGCTTTTTGCACGGGAGCAGGAATGCCCAGTCTAGTGTTCCTTTTCGGAGATATTGTCAATGTCTTCTAAGATGGGAATGATCACAGTGTAGTAGATGCAATCAAGACTACTGTCATCACTCTTGCTGTCATTGGAGTTGTGATATGGGCTGCCAGCTATATGTACTTTGTTTTCCTAGTAGCCATGTCTGAGAGAATCGGAAAGAAGACAAGAGTTAACTACCTCTAGGGTATATTATCTCAAGATATAGCCTGGTTCGATTCCATTAATGTGCCTGAACTTTCAGCTAGACTGAGCAAAGAGTGCCAAGCCATGCAGAGAGCTCTTGGTGAGAAAATTGGTGCTATATTGATGTCAATTGGAATGTGTCTTGCTGGATTATTCTTCGCTTTCTTTAGAGGATGGATATTTTCGCTTATTTTGCTAGCAGCTTTTCCAATAGTCATGATATTGCTAGGCACTACTGGTAAAGCAATGCAGAATGGCTTTAAGTAAAACCTTCAATCTTATGGCTAGAGCGCTGGATATGCTGATCAAGCTTTGAATGCAATTAAAGTTGTCCAGGCTTTTGGATAGGAACTCACCGAAATTAGGAACTATGATAAATACCTTGGTAGAGCCAGGAAAATGGGTATCAAGACCCACGCTACAGGAGCCATTTCTATTTCAGTACTTCTTTTTGTGATCTTTGGATACTATGGGTATGCCTTTTACACTGGAAGCTGGTTGGTACAAAAAGAATACAATAATACTAGAAGTGATGCCCCTTACAACGCTGGTGACATCATGTCTTGCTTTTTTGGAGTCGTTTTTGGACTTATGTCCATCGGGATGGCTACACCAAATGTAAAAGCAATAGCAGAAGGCAAAGTAGCTGGTAAAATGGCTTTTGATATCATAGATAGAGTTCCTAGGATTCGTATGGATGATCCATCATATGAGAAGGTTGGGGACTTGAAAGGGTAGATAGAATTCAGAAATGTTACGTTCACATATCCATCAAGGCCTGAGTAGAAGGTTCTAGATAATTTCTCTGCTGTATTCGAGGAAGGTAAAACTACTGCTATTGTTGGGGCTTCAGACTCTGGAAAAAGCACCATCATCCAAATGATAGAGAGGTTCTATGACCCTGACCAAGGTTCTGTTATTGTGGATGGGAGAAATCTCAAGAATCTCAACCTAAGGGAATTCAGACATAAGGTAGGCTATGTAAGTCAAGAGCCAGTCCTATTTAATACCTCAATTAAAGCCAATCTTCTTTATTGCAAGCCTGATGCTACTGATGATGAAGTCATATAGGCTTTGAAGTCTGCCAATGCCTACAACTTTATCAATGAAAAGATGGGTAAAGATGGTATTTACACCAATGTTGGCAATGCTGGTGGGTAGCTTTCTGGTGGATAAAAATAAAGAATCGCCATTGCTAGAGCCTTCATTAAGAAACCTAAAATATTGCTGCTGGATGAAGCTACTAGTGCACTTGATAAGAGAAATGAAAGAGAGGTCTAGGCAGCTATTGATAGAATTAGATAAGAATTAGGGTCTATTACTACCATAGTAATTGCTCACAGACTTTCAACCATTAAGGATGCAGATAATATCATAGTAATGAGTAAAGGTAAGATTACAGAAGAAGGAACTCATCAGACCCTTTTGATAAATTATCCTGAAGGAACTTATGCCAAATTCGTCAAAGAGTAGGAGCAATCAGAAGCCTAAGATCCTTCTAATTAGTTTGCTGAAGAAGAAATTTAAGAGGATAATATTAATTCAAAGCTTGAGTTAGTCAAAGGACAGTCAAACCTCAGAAAAAGCACTTTGAAGAGAAGAGACTTGGAACTTGATAAGGTAGAGCTTTAAATGAAAGACTAGCAGGACTAGATTGACAATTAAAAGCAGTAAGAGCTTGAAGCTATTAAAAAAAAGAACAACCAATCGAATAACTTCAAGAGATTAATGACAATGAGTTATCCAAAGTTCAACATTGCAGTTGGACTCTTTTCCTCACTAGGATAAGGTTCATTGATGCCATTATTTGCCATAGTTTTGATGAAATAGCTTTTCGCAATGAACATGTACCCAGGTCATGGTGCTGATGCTGTTAGATCTGACTCTGATTACTATTGCATGCTTATTCTAGTGATCTCTATCTTGTCATTCTTGTTTGGACTCATTGGAAAGTTTTCATTCGGTCTCATTGGAGAAAATGTCACTCTGAGGATAAGACAACTGCTTTACTCAAGAATACTGTAGAAATCAATTGGATGGTTTGACGAAAAAGAAAACTCACCAGGAGTAATTTCAGCCTCAATGGCAAGTGATGCTTAGACCATTAATGGAGCAAGTGCAGAGGGATTAGCAGTAATGATTCAGTCAGGATTCTCAGTTTTGGCAGGAATTATAATCGGATTCATCTATAACTGGAGAGAAGCTGCAGTCTGTATTGGTTGTGTACCATTTACAATGATAGGTGGTGCTATGACTATTAAACTCCAAAAAGGTTTGAGCGAGGACTCTGATGCTGCGTCTGGCGATGCTAACTTACTTGCTGGTGATGCTATCTTAAATTATAGGACAGTCGCTTCATTCGGGTATGAGACCCAAATAGTAAAAGATTATGACTAATTACTCTAAGGCCCAGTGAATGTGGCTATTAAGAAGAGTCATTCAATTGGTTTCTTTTTTGGATTTTCTCAATTCGTTTAGTATGGCACTCCAAGTTTACTATATTACACAGGTGCATTATTCATAGATAATGGATATACAAGCTTCTAAGATGCTGATAAAATCTTCACTGCTATCTTCGCTATGATGATGGGAGCTATGGCTGCAGGATAGGCTTAGCAGTTCGGACCTGATATGGGCAAAGCCAAACAAGCAGCTCAAAAGATTTTTGGAGTGATTGATATTCCATCAGAAATAAATGCTGTTGAATAAACTGATAACCCTTAATTGAAATCAGTTGACTACAACAACTTCAAAGGAGAGATTGAATTTAAAGATGTCTGGTTCTGATACCCAACTAGAAAGAACGATTGGATTCTAAAGGGTCTTAACTTGAAAATTAATGCCAAGGAGACAGTAGCTCTTGTTGGTGAATCAGGTTGTGGGAAATCCACCACCGTGTCATTGCTAATGAGATTTTATGATGTGAACTTTGGCTAAATTTTGATTGATGGGGTTGATATCAAATAATACAAGTTAAATGAATTAAGAAGAGCTATGGGATTAGTCATGTAAGAGCCTACTCTATTCAACTATACTATTTCAGAGAACATCCTCTACGGAAGTTCAAATGCAACCAACTCTGAGATTTATCATTCAGCAGAGATTGCAAATGCTCTTGAATTCATTGAATCAAAGACAATAAGCAACGCTTTTGATGATAAGGCTGAGATTTTGTTAAGAGAGCTTAAGAGAAATGAAACAATGCTAAGAAGTAAACTTGGTGATAAGGAGTATAGTGATTTAGCAGAACAACTGGCTGAAATACAAAAAGAAGAAGAAAAGAAGGGAGTCTTCTAATCTTAAGAAGGAGATATTGATTAAAGAAGTTAGGAATTAAAAGATTAGAATTTGCATTAAGGATTTAATGTTGATTGTGGTCTTAAAGGCTGTAAACTCTCTGGAGGATAAAAGCAAAGAATCGCTATTGCCAGAGCTATTATCAGAAAGCCAAAGATGCTTATACTTGATGAAGCCACTTCAGCTTTGGATGAGGCATCTTAAAGAAAAGTTTAAGTTGCTCTTGATAATATCATGAAAGACAGGACTTCTATAGTGATTGCTCACAGACTCAGTACTGTTGAGAAATGTGATAGAATACTTGTACTTGAAAGTGGCAGACTTGTCGAGGAAGGCGGATTTTAAGAACTAAAGTAAAAGGATGGTGGTATATTTGCTTAGCTAGCTTCGGGCATGCAAAACAACGCCAATAATCAAACCAAATGATCTCTCAATATTATAATCAAATTAGAATCGATAATATATCAATTTGAATATAACCAGATTAAGAAACTACTTGAGACATGGGGTTTTGGGGTTTTGGGGTTTTGGGGTTTTGGGG